TTAGTATACATAATTAGCCATAGCACTCCAACAAACTGGACATGTCATTCTGATCATATAGCTAAGAAGTATTTGCGACAATAAACTTTTTGTTCCGGAGTTTTACTTAATATTATCATCGAAACCAGGTTACAGATATTTGTACCATTTGAGATTACATAAACTTGTATTTCCAATTTTATGTGTTTCTCATTCTACTCTCTTGAGTTCTTCATTTTTTAATAATGAGGCCAGCAACTTTGTGTGTATCACTTTTCAGTTCACCAGTGAACCTTTGCACTGTATACTTTTGTAAAACTAGAACGTCTGGCTCAGAATAAATCCAAAACAAGCAGTTTTCCCAAACACCAGAGCTGCAATACTCTTCTCGAGGCGCGTTCCACCACCCAAGTTCGCGTCTTCAGGAGATGAAGTCAATTAATTAATTCTCAACTCTAAAACGGGTCTCTAACAGGGTACGCTTTCACTTTTCGACACACATCAATGATTTCAGGTAGAAATTTACGGGAAAGAAAGTTCCCGCTAATTTTACCAGTTAGGTATTCATAAGAAGGTAAACAGTGTGCTGTTTGAAATGCGACCTTTGTTACTTGCGATGCAACACCAGATGGCGTTGTTTCGATCCAAGAGTTCCCACCGGTGATACTAGGTTGATCCACTGAACTGTCCCAAAAAGGCCAAGACTGAAAGTAAAGACAATGACATCTTCCCTAGCTGCCTTGCAAGAAAAGCTGCAGTGAAAGACAGAGGACAAATCTCTTTCAGCAATCGATATCGAAGCTTGACTGAATGCCTTGAGGAGCATCATTTATCTTTGATATTTGAGAAGTGAGTCTGTCGATTCCATAGACGGCATCTTCATAGGGTGAGATGACATCGCCTTTACCTTCACTGTTCATAATTTTTATGCCACACTTTGCTATTTCCCGACTTTCGAAAGGATTCAAAAATCAAGTGTCATGTGCCGATCTCAACAATATCTGACAGTTTTCATTTATTGTATGGACGTTCTCAAAGTCGCCTAGATTTTTTTTGTTTTGGAAATCGGATATGTGCCGCGTGTTCTTTGAAACGAATTTTAATGACTCGCTTAGTCTGAACAATATACTTTTTGTCATAGGCTTCGCAGCTTATTTCATATATCCGATATATTATTTTCCAATATCTTGTCTTTAGAGTTACCTTAAATTTGTTGAAGTGAGCAAGAAGTTTTGAGGGCTACTTTCACGTTCAACTTTTTTAAAATTTGATCTAAACCGTTACTATACTTTTATTCATACGGAAGGACAATGAAATTTGAGTACATATTTGAAAAGTCGAAGATTTGAGAAGATTCAACCTGAAGTATGTTTCCTAATTAACTTATCTACTGTATTTGATGGTTGGTGAAACACACTTCGAAAAAAGTACAGTTGACTCGCGATAGTCCGACATTACGGGACCGCGGGGGTGTCGGATTACATAAAATGTCTGATTACCAAATATTGGCTCTATTTGATTGAATTTGCAGTATATAAGTTTGGAAATATAGTTAACGATAAATTTTTATGTTATATTTGACTAGAAAAGACTCAAAATATGTAATGAAGTCTGGCTTCAGTTTTTGCAAAAGAATAGAAATTTATTTAATATTAAAATCATAACACAACATGAATCGGTTTTACAGGTAAGACCGACTAGATGAGATCGATGACTCGTACGGCGCAGCGTCGGACTACCGAGCTTGTTGGACTATCACGAGTCAACTGTATTGCAGATCTGGTGTCTACTGTGTGAAACTATAACTTCAAATAATGCGGATTTAAATTATATTTCTATTTTCATTTTTCAGCTATTTTTGGCGAGTATTGTAGAATGTTCAATAGGAGTCAAACCTGGCTAAATGTTTCTTTATAATCAATACCGTTTCTAAGATACATTGTGATTCTGGAGTTCATATTTTATGTGATTTAAATAGTTGTTTAGAAGGCTCGTCATATTTAGCTTTACACATGTGTCTTAAAGCTCATTTATGTTGTTGAATAGATAATTGCTAGAACTACCTCAAAATGAAATCACATACCTCAAGCAAGTTTGAAGTACACAATGATTACTCCATTTCAGCTGTAGAATACCATGATTCTATCGATATCATCTCAACTGCATAGCAACCAGAAGACAGCTTATTCAAAATTTTTGTTGAGTTTCATGGAATTCAAGTTCATTGTCAATATGGATTCCGAAACATTTTCCACAGGTTTTATTTTTTATTATTGCACTTGAATGTCACTAAATTGTTTTTTTTATTTAGTATCAAACGAATGACAGTTCAATTCACACCAGTTGAATACTTTTCCTATATTAATGTCATAAACTACACCTTAGGATTTGATCTCCACAAAAGTTTGTGGAGATCAAATCGTAAGGTGTAGTTTATGAAATTACTATGGATCTTCATCAAGTAATGGCTGAATGAATCAGAAAATTTTCCCATATCTTCCCCAACACACTTTTTAAGTCTTCAGTGTTGGAAGTTGGGACTGTTCCAGATGATAGTTGTGTCATCAGCATGTAAAGTAAAACTACCTAATGTATCATCATATGTTGTATCATTCACATAGATTGAGAAAAGAACTGGGCCTTCCATAAAACCCGAAAGTTTAACTCATACTGTAATTTTCAGATCCCGGCGAATAAGAAAGGTATTAGGAGGCGGTTGGAGGCAAGCTGGTGTTTTGGCTGCAGCTGGATTAGTTGCATTAGATACGATGATTGATAGGTTGAGAATCGATCATGACCATGCATTCAAAATAGCAAAAGGTAAACTATTTTGTTGAATTTTACTCTAATGCATGAGTTCAAAACTAAAGCTTCGGTACAAAATTAATTTTGTCTAGGAAGGGCTTCCCCTTTATAGAATAATTCTCAAACTAGAAATAACAAAAATCCCCGCAACCCATAATTGAAGGTTTTCAGGGGGAAACATGTTCATGCATGCGAACCATTTGTAGCTTCACTTCCGCATGCTCTCAGATCTTCCTTTCCAACATACCATGTGCAATACATCATTTGAAAGGTTTCATCGAGTAAAATATTATCCAAAAATGTCAGGTCATTCAAAGTGCACAGCTCCTAATGGCGGCGTTAAGTTTCTTTTAAAAAAAACATGGTTATTTTTTTCAAAAACACATGTTTACGCTCAATGACATTTGAACTCACATCTCTTAATGATTTGTAAGTTGCTTTCAGATCTGATGATCTTGCGTTAAAAATAAAAAATCTCAGGCATAAGTACAGACAGGCTATAAATAAGGCAAAACTCCATGCAAATAACGGGTTCATAAAAAATTCGGATAATATTGCAAAATCCTCTTGGAAAGTAATCAATAAAGATAGGTTGAAAAAGTCACAGGAAGAAAACAAATATTAGTTCAAATGAACTCAATAATTTTTTCACTGTAATAGCAAGTAATATTGTTAATAATTCAAATGTACCTGTGATCACATATAAACAGTACTTAAAGATAACAAATACACACAATCCTAACCTCAGTTTTTCCTTTAGAGAGGTAACATTCATAGAAGTAAGAGATGCTATAAATGAGTTGAAACCGAAACACAGTAGAGATATATATGAAATCAATATAACTCTCATCAAAGAACTCAAAAATGTGTTATTCATTCCACTTACAAAACTTTACAATGAATGCATAAGAAAAGGGGTATACCCAACAATATTCAAACTTGTAAAAGTGATTCCGGTATTTAAGAAAGGAGATAAAGAGAACGCCCAGAATTATAGACCCATTGCATTAATTACTGTATTTTCCAAAATATTCGAACTACTATTAAAGAAACAACTACACACTTTTTTAGAAAATAACTTATCAATAAATGAACGATTTGGATTTAGACAAGGTAAATCCACAATACTAGCACTCAATCAGTTATGTGAATATATAATCGAGGGCTTTGAAAATGATCAGATCGTAGGATCTACCTTCTGCGACTTATCCAAGGCATTTGATTGTGTATCACATGAAATATTGTTAGGTAAACTCGATTACTATGGTCTTGATCATACAAGCTTAAATTTAATATCAAGTTACTTAGAAAGTCGTAGACAGATCACATTACACTGTGGTAGTTATTCAGAGGAGAAAGTAAACAGGCATGGAGTCCCACAAGGTTCCATATTGGGACCTATAGCAACATACCATGCGTGATACATCATTTGAAAGGTCTCGTCAAGTAGAATGTGTTTTAGAATTCCAGGTTGTTCTGAGAATACAAAGCACCATGGCAACATAGTTTTCATTAACGATTGAGGTTTTGCGAATGTGAGAGGCAACATTGAGTCACGGCTGTATCTGTGCAATGAAGTGAATCGTTCATATTTCAAATAATTCATCTCATAAACGATCTGAAATGTTTATAAAACGAATAAAAAATGTAAGCACCGAAAAACTGCATAAGCCAAGCAGGAATTAAATAGGACTGTATATTGGTGATCTTAGCTGCAGACAATGCATCAAGAAAACAGTTCTTCATTTTTTTTACAAATTTGAGACACCAATTTCCAGGTGGCGAGCAATTTATTGGCATCCCAAACTATATCAAAAATATATATCAAACATCCAACAAATAATCTATACAAGAACAAGATTGTTGGAAAATGTGTAATAAAAAGATAGAAGGAAAAAAGCATTATGACCATGAGGCTGCATTGTTTTTTTGGGAATTGGAAGAAAGATGTGACCTAAAATCTCGTAATATAGATTCATCAAGTTTAGCACAAATGAAACAATCCGTGCTTAGTTTCTCCTTCCAATGGTAATTTCAAATGATAATTTTAAACTGGTATTTCCTCAAGGATTATATATATAACTATATCAATAAGTTTTCCTCTTAGACAATATTCTGTACAAGTATAAATATAAATAAGAAACCCAGGTCTCATATCTAGTCTCTTATCTTATCGTATCCTATTCAGTGTTGGTCTTTGTTACTTGACACATTGTTTACCTTAGGTTATTTCCAGACACTCAAAGGCTTTTAAAAGCCTGTTGTTTTCTACTGAACTCAACAATTTTTAAATCTGAAGAAATGAACTTTAAACGTTCAAGCCAGTCTTGAATATACCTACACAGTAGGTCAAATGGACTGACGCCTATCAGAAAACAACTACTCCCCTGGCTAATACCACGAAGGGCGTTGGATTATATCCGACAGGCATCAGTGCAGGAATCTTCACGAAAAATTTCCTGCATATGCAATTGGCAATACAACTAAACGAGTTGACCTTCAATTTTGGAACGGGTACACTTGCAGACCAGTTTCGGGCTCATTAGCCACTCATCGGTGNTGTTTAGCCCACAAAATCTTACTTTTTACCTAGAAATGACTGATTTTTGGTATAGTTGTTCCCTGGAAACTTTGAGCCATAGTTATACCTTACAAACTTCCTCACGTTCATTGGTGTTAATTCAGGATACATTTGGTTGAATTTTTTACACGTTCTGACAATTATTTGATCACTTTGTTCATGTGTATATAAAAAAGTATTAAAATACCAGAGCGATATGTATATATTAGTGTGTACTTTTTTCATCAGGGTAATCAGAAAAATGATTTCATTTCCCAATCAAGTTCTAATACTTTTATTTTCAATTGGAAATAAGAATAGAATATTTCATATCTAATACCTTTTTTTACATTTAAATTATGTGTATATAATAATATATAGGTTAGTTTTAAATATTTATTGTAAATATTTAGGTAGATTTCTATAATGTACTATAGTATAATTTTTATTTTGTATGTAATGTCTGACCATACACCTTAAATAAAAAGAAAGAATTAAACATTTAGCTAATATTCTCCACTATCTATTGAATAATCTATTACAGTTTGAAACATGGCATAGGGTATTTTTATCAAATGATGTACAGAAAAGTTATAATCATTTCAACAATACACTACACCAAAAAATTAGTATGAGACTTGAAAGTTTACAAAACCGCGGTACTTGAAGTTTTTTTTTTAATACGTTATAATAGATTTTCATTAAGTTTCGGTTAGTTCTATCATATTTNAATGCCTTGAGTTGAAATCTTCTCCACACGGTTATTGTGTGCAGAACATCCCAACTCGTCTATCCACCCCCGCTCCTCCGGAGCGGTCGTCAACTTACTGATGGGCACTTCAGCAAGATTGACATCTGACCTACTTTGGACGAATGTCAGCTTCTACGTGCTTTTACTTTCTGATCTAGTGAATATTTATCTAAGAATACTCAAAACCGTAAACTTTGGATAACCAATGGTCTTGTGAACTTATTGATTTAAAAAAAGATTGTCAAATTATTCAATAGAATCAGAAAATAGGAACAAAGATTATATAAATAAGATCAACAGACAAACAAAAAAGGAATATTATAACACCCAACTCCTTTTGAATAATAAAACCAAAACATCTATAGACAATGAAATCATGTCATCTGGGAAAAAAATTAAATGGAAAGGGAGGTCTTGTGACACATCATTTTGAAGCTCCTGACGAATACTTCACAACCCTAGAATATGAAGTCAATATCTTCAACTGCTACAAAATGGCGGAACTCGAAAGTGACATTCGAGACTGGTCTGGGCTTGCCGTGAAGAACTGAGGAAATCTGGCGAACAAGAATAGATTGACTATATACTAGGTGCCAATACACTCAAAAGTTGATGGGTGTGCCTGACATGGATCATCAACTTTTTATAAGGCTCTGAACCAAGCTGTGAGGCTAGCTGAATCTTTGATACGAAACAAAATGGGTCTATAGGAAACATAAAGACTACTGAGAAAACATACATGAGAAAATCTTAATAAAGGGACCGTTTGAGAAGAGAACTGAAATACTGCTTCAAAAAAGAACAATAACTGCAGGGCTAATCACTGGACATTGTCCATTGAGAGGACACCTAAACAAAATACAATGCAACAAAGGGACAGAGACAAGAGACAATGTATGGACAGCCCAAATGTCCAGAAGAATATGACATACATCCAGCAAGGGGCCTGTACAAACTTGTCTAGGGAGCAAGAGTGTTGGAATGAGAGTCATGAAGAAGATGAGGGGAAAAACATAATGAGCCAATGGGTGCTGCGTTTTTTTCGGAAACTTGGAAAACAAATCCAATGCTCGTATTGAAAAAATATATAATTACTTTTCTTGCCATTGCTTCAACAAGTTTAAAATTAATGTTGTCTTTATGTTTTTTATTTTCAATATCTTTGGTAAAAGTTGTTATCACGACTTATCAAAACTAATAACAATATATCAACTCTTTTCTTCAAATATCTTATTGTTACTATTGTCGTATCGTCACTGAATCATTGATTATTTATTTATTCAACGGCAAAGCCAATTTACAAAAACAAAGTATGAGGAACTACAAAGTATTTTTGAATGCTCATGTCTGATGTCTACATTACAATTTACAATTTTACAAAACATTTAGCAAAGTGTGAAATACAAAATATTAATAAATCCATATGTCTAGTGACTATATTACTAAAAGATGAAACAATTCTGGTACTTACAAGAAAAAATATGAAACAAATCTGGTACTTACAAAGAAAATGGTAAGGTGAAGAAAAGCTTCGAAAACGCTATAGCCTTTTCAATTGATTTTTAAAGAACTGAAGTGATACATTAAACAGATCTAAGTTATTATGATATTGATTTCCCAGCTTCAAAATACGAGGCATCGGACTGTTCAAAGCATAATTGGTATGGAAAAAATTATATGAAAAATGTCAGGATTTCTCGTATCTTTTTGTTTGATATGAAAAGTTATCAGTTGAAGTAGTTCTGGGCAGTTCATCTCACTATTTATCAATTTGAAGAGGAAACTCAAGTTCATAGAAATTCTCCTATCTTCCAATGATTTTATATTTAACTTGGTTAAGAGTTGGTACTCTTATTCATTTCGTTGAATACCAAAGTGAAAAGCACAATTCCTTAAGAATTTCTTTTGAACATTCTGAATTAAATCGATATTTATGTTATAGTATGGGTCCCATATAACTGAACAATATTCAAGAATGGATCTTAAGAAAGCACAATATAAAATCTTTTTTGTTTTAATTGAAAAATCAGTAGAAATTATCAACACAAAAATTAATGTCGCTATCAAATTTATCAATTTACATCTAAGTTAAGGTGGAATGATGGAAAATGTAAATGTATATGAAAAATGTCAGGATTTCTCGTATCTTTTTGTTTGATATGAAAAGTTATTAGTTGAAGTAGTTCTGGGCAGTTTATCTCACTATTTATTAGACTTTAACTTGGTTAAGAGTCGACTGTACTCTTATTCATTTCGTTGAATACCAAAGTGAAAAGCACAATTCCTTAAGAATTTATTTTGAACATTCTGAATTAAATCGATATTTACGTTATAGTATGGGTCCCATATAACTGAACAATATTCAAGAATGGATCTTAAGGAAGCACAATATAAAATATTTTTTGTTTAATTTGAAAAATCAGTAACACAAAAATTAATGTTGCTATCAAATTTATCAATTTACATCTAAGTTAAGGTGGAATGATGGAAAATGCCAAAACACCCTAACAAAATATATATTATTCAGGCATTACCATTGGATTGGTTGGAAAAAGTGAGCAGTATTGCTGCCGAACATAACATACCAGTTCATATGGATGGCGCAAGATTGATGAACGCAGCAGTTTTCTTGAAAGTAACTCCTCGAAGAGTAGTCAGAGATGTCGATACTGTCTGTTTCTGCCTGAGTAAAGGACTGGGATGTCCTGTTGGTGCTGTTTTGGCTGGTAGTACTGACTTTATCACTAAGTAAGTTTTGAATTTCTATCTTAGTTACCCTCCACTACTCCCACTCAAATAGTTAGCATTGAGGTGGGGTCTCATATGCCCGTCCCTAAGTATGGCATTGTATATGTTAATTAAAAAACTTTGCCAACAAGCAACTATCATTAGTTAATCATTTTTGTTTTGAAAAAAAAAAGATATATATCATCTTACAAACTAAAGTGTTTGATAAGACATTTTTACACAAAAAATAACTGAAAATACTTTTTCAACGAAAAGAACTATGTCTGATATCATTTCATAAAAATCAAATATCATCTGAACAGTTGGGATACAGCATTTGGGCATTTGTCAGACATACGAATTTGTGAGTGTGTGTGTAAGTGTTAATGTGAGTTATATCTGCAACTTTTTTATTGACATTTGTTAGTTGTGATCGACACACTTTTTCAGTGAGCATAGATGTAGGTTCTTTAACAACATTCTCCCAATGTCAGGGAATTTTCCTGTTGGATGCATAAGATATTTAGTATTGCTTCCAGCTATTTTCATCATAATAGTACAAAGTTTGTCAACATTTGTTTCACTCAAATTGTTTCATCCTACCTAATAAATAATGAAATTCAAATCTATTGTGACTGTTTGACAGTTTCATCATCAGACATGTCTCCATCTTGTTTTATATCACTTGCTATAGCTGTTTTCTCCAAAAATTCCTTCTCAAAGTATGATTAATCGTCAATTAAACCATCATCACCTCCAACTTCATCAAAAAATCACTGATAACGTTTTATTTTTTCTCAAAATTCATCTAACATTTATT